ATAAACTTCAAGATATAAAAATAAATAAAAACATAATGCTTCTGCTGTGGGCAGCCCAAGTTCGAATCGTGTTCGAACAAAGGTGTCTGGAAAAAAAGTCTGATGAGGAAACGTGGTGGTTTCCGAAATAGCAACTTCTACCGCCCAAAAATATTGTTGTAATTTTTTCACTAATTCCAAAAAAAAAAACAATGCAACAAAATTTTTTTTGAGACTAAAAAAATAAGCCTTGTGCGTTATAAATTAATTATTAATTATTAAGGCAAAAACCTTTTAATTTCAAAAGAAAAGAACCTTAACTAAATAAAAATAATTAGCAGAAAACAAAAAATAAATTATTGAGTAAAATTAAAACGGATATGAAAAAATTAGTAGCCAACAAAAAAATATAATTTTAAATAAATTAAAAATAAATTTCTTAAAGTAATTTCCGTCATTAAAGACCACAAAATCCATCTTGTTCTGCTTAAAAAAATTGATATATAAGAAATGAAAACAACTCTCGTGAATACTCACATTCCTCCGTCTGACTTCAACGCCCTAAATAATGAATGAGCTGTTAGAAAGAAAATGCTGCCAATGCTTTCGAAAATATTTCCAACAACAACTATGAAATATGCGTAAGCTTCGTTGGCCAAATTGCAAAAACAATAAAAAAAAAGATTTGCGTAAAGAAAAGGCAAAAACCAACAACAACAATCAACCAGATGTACAGAAGTGTTGTTAGTTCCACCCACCTCATTTGGTTTTTTTCCTTTCGCGCACCAGACGCCTGATGAGTTACCGCGGCAGCGTTGCAGTTGCATTGCCACATTTATAATTTCCTTGTGGTTGCAAATAATTCTTTGCTTTTGTATGTTGTTGTTGTTGTTGAACTAAGATTGTCTACATACAGATATTCTTTACTGCTTTGTACAACATATTGTTGTTGCCACAACGGCGAATTCTCAAACACTTGTTGATAAGTGTGCGATTATCCTGTTGCTGCTTTATGGTGAAGTTTGGAACAAAAAAAAAAAAAAAAAAAAAAAAAAAATCGGCGCATACATTTATTGCCTTGTAAAATATGTATGCACATATGCATATACATACATACATACAGCACCACATTTTGTTGTATCATTTTTTAATCTCGCATTGGTGATCTTTATTACATACGAGGATGTGCAACAAGCAAGTAAGCAAATGCATACATGAATACACACAAACATACATACATATGTATTAACATGTGTGTATGTATGTACATATGTATCTGCATATCAACATATGTCGCTTGTCGCTTCTCAGCGCTGTTAAACTGCGCTTTTCAGGCTGCTGCAGTGGCGGTCAAGTCACTCTGCTCGCCTGTTTTTCTGTTTATCTGTCTGTCTGCTGTTGGTTTTGGGACAATTGTTTCTTGTCTTTGCATAACACCTCCTACTCCTCCAACTTCTTTTCCTTCGCTTTTTCGTTGCTGTTTTGCATTATTCCTTAGTTTCTTTTATATTTATTTACTTCTTTTACTGACTTTGAATGCAGTTACTCCTTTATATTTCTTTTGTTGTTGTTTAGTTTTTGTTTTTGTATTCTTTCTTTCTCGAATGCGGACACTTCATTTGCATAATTATTGAGTGAACTGCCGGAATTGTGGGAATACTGTGCACTGAAGATGAATGAAGTCATTGGACAGTTGTCCAAAAAAAAAAAAAAAGGCGAAAATGCCGAATGGAGATGAGGAGTGTAAAGCAGTGAAGCGAGCAGATGCAGTAGTCTTTCTTTTTTTTGCATATGTGCACTATTATTATTACTGTGGTGTGTTCAGACAGCCAACTAATTGCCAATTAGTAAAGTATACAAGAAATTAGCATACAAACACGCAATTAACTAATAACCAATTTATATTTAATTTACAATCAAAAAGCGTCAGTTTCGCTGTGGAAGCCTATTAATCGATTAATTTTCGATTAATCACACACTTGCTGAAATCAAATTTGAAAAGCTGAAATTCTGCCAGCAACGTCCCCCTATAGAATATCTTAATAACTCAAATTTGAATTGACATTCAAAAGTTCTTCTAAAAAGTTGTAGGTGAAATAATACGATCGTGGATCGTCGAAAATTTATCTTTACTTAAAATCTTCTCTTTGTATTTAATGTCGTCGGTGAGTCCTTTTTTATTGTAAATCCGAAAAGGCTAAGTTTCTTAGCGACCTCGTATTTCAGTCCTACCCCGACACTGCACTGGCGCCCTTTCTATGACATTACAAGCACACAGGTTCCAAGTAATGAGCCCATTTGTCTTTCTCCGGTGATAATTTGTTTTAAGATTTGTTTAGCTTGACCCCCTCACAACTCTAAGAGTTACTCAGATGAGTCTTTGCACTGCATTCTTAAAAACCAGACCCCATCTTGCACTGTAATATTCAAAACTTATCGAAGATTGCCATATTACAGTTAATTACGCTTTGTTTTCTTCAGACGGGCCTCATCTTATATGACGGGCATCTATTCGAGGAACTCCTGGGTGTTGATTAAATTTTCAGCATTATATGCATTCCTGAGATCCATGGCAAGTAAATTCTTTTTAAATCCGATAGGTGGCGCAAGAGTGAAAACCTTCAAAAAATCTATTCGAGATTTGTTTAAAAAATAACGAGAGTTTTTGTCAGAATTTTTTTTATTTTGCTTGTACGGGTGTACGTGACCCTCAGGTTACATGTGTTTTAGTGAACTCGGCGCTGTTCACTTGGTAAAAGAAATAATTCAAAGGTTTGGATAAAATTTATGGAAAAAAAAATGGAATAAAGTCTCTGGAGAACGACAGTAAATGTGCTTTAAGAGAAGCAACAGTTTACGCGTAGGTTCTAATGAAGCCATGAGGACGCTGAAGATGACGACCGCTCTGCACGCCCCAGCCATCAACATGCTCTCAAAACGAGGTAAATTTGAAAAAAAAAAAAATGTAATTAACGATCGCCGAGTCACAATCATCGATTCGATCATGTCATGTGAGTTTTTCTAATGTTTGTGTATGAAAAGCATGACAAAAAAATTTGTTCTAAAATTTTTTAATTTCGAAAAAAACAGCGGGGAATGGAGTCCTCAAATTAAGTCAATCTCGATTACGGAAACGTATTCTAACAGGTGACGAAACATGGGTTTACGGACTACAGCGGAGATATTTCGGCTCGCCAAGAACGAGTAATGCTCGAACGTGATTATTACGCCTACTGTTTGCTTAGACTTTAAGGACATAGCTCATCACTAACTCCTGCCCTCAGATCGAATGGTCAATATGGAGTACTAACTACAAGTTCAACACCGTTTGTGGGAAGAAATCCGAAAAAACTCGCGAATTTTTGTAAAAACATTTCACGGTTTTTTACAACACGCTGCTCACACTTTATTGCTGGCTCGAAAGTTGTTGGCTAAAAGGTGCCACCTAACTATGCTCTAACCGCCATATTCTCCAGCTGTGAATGGCTTAGTGGGACTTTCTTCTGTTTCCAAAATTAAAGGACAGTCCTGCCATGCATTAAAGCGCAACACTGAAAGAATTAAAGTCTGTATTAAAGATCGAGGTGTTTTCGAAGTTTGGAAGAAGCGCTGTTTCAAGCGCTTAAACTCTAAAGGGGGCTATTTTATAGGTGATAACCCTAATGCAGACGATGAAATGTATATTTTATTTAAAAAAAAAAACGGAAATTAACTTTACTTTCCAAACACATCTACCGTTAAAATTCTTAAAACATTGCATCGTCTATGTGAGACTCTGCAAGAGAAGGGTTGGCGAGTTAATCTAAACTCTTTGGCTAAGACGAGAGATACGAGCCACTAAACTATTAAGAACTGATGAGATGACAATGGAAGGAATGATGAGAGACACTGAACACTTAAAACTTTGAAATTACTAGCCCAAGCCTATATGTAGTAGATATTTTGGGGGGAAATTTGTGAAAAGGCGTGACAGGTGTTCTGTCCACCAATTTGAGGTTAAGTTAATTTATAAAATAAATATTTTAATTTTTTTAATAATATTTTATTATTATTCCTAATTGTTTTTCAAAATTCCTGTGAGATTTAAAATGCAAAATTTAAATGAAATAAAAAAAAATCGATAATTCAAAATTTTATTGATCTAAAGTATTTTACTGCAATTTTTAAGTTTATCAGCACCATTAGAAAGTGCCTTCTTCGAGTTCTGGTCCAAGCAAAATGCAAAATTGTAGAAAATGAAATTTACACGACTCAATCTAAGCAGGAAATATCAAGCAACTCGAAGGTACTCATGCATTGAAATCTCCTCATAAAGTTCAGAGGCTCTTCAGAGGCGGGTTAAAAATGAACTGTAGGCCCCCTCATTTGCTGGGAAATAACATCAGGACACGTGCCACATATTTGAGGAACAGCTCAAGCCGAAAATCATTTCAGCGGTTACAAAGCGTCAATTATAGATTAAAGATATTGAAATGTCTTTTTTTTGATATACTTTTGAATAGGGTTGCCATTTATTTTGCACGTTATATTTATTCAATATATTGGCGATAAGAATTATCGAAAAATTATTCATATTTGCTGCAGTAAGAGTTTTCAGTTGTGCTTCTTGTAAATTACTGTATTTAAAGAATAATAACGCAGGGTTACCATATGTTTTTGATTTTATAAAATTGGTAGGAAGCCACGAAATATTGATCTATGAAGTGCAGGGTGTTTTTGAATATACGTTTTAAGTGATCAACGACACTTTTTGGTATTTTTAAGAAGAGATTTACTTCAAATAAAGCAGAATCACGGTAAATCTGGTATATATTTACTAATTAAAAATAAATGGTACATACATTGGACACAATAAATCGTATTATGTATTTAATAATAATAATCTCAATTTATTTCTAGGATTAAATACTAAATTTCTGTGCTTTTTTTAGTAGTCAATTTTTTCTTTTTAATTTTCAGTGTTTGAGAAAACTTGATTTTATTTTTGTAATATTTTATTTTTAATAATTCGTTTCACTTACTTTGTTTTGCAGACTTCTTCTAGCTCATGAAGAAAATTTATTTGCCGAAACCTTTTATTTTTGCCAGTTTCAAAGAAGTTTTATTTTTTCATACACAATTTTTTCACCGTAAACAATTTTTTTTTTGCTTAGTAAAAGAAATTCTTCACGAAATTCACAAAAATTGCCAAGCAATGTCCGACGGCTTTTCAAGAGTTTTCCATACAAAAAAAAATTTACAAATTTAGCGCATCAAACGCCTGCTCGTTGTAGTTTTTCGAATAAAATACACGCTTACACTTACTAGCTGGGCGATATACATACATATATATTCTAAATTAGTCAGTGACTTAGATACTTGGAAATGATTTTTCTTCTATACACACACACATACACACACACGGTTCGGTCAATTCGAACGTCTACAAACGTTGCGCTCAGCGACAATTTCAAAACCGGACTGAATATGAGTGGCGCGCGGCTCGAGTCGATGAGCTGGCTTAGCGACTTTTGCGACTGATTTTCACGTACATACTCGCATGTGTGTGTGTGTGTGTGCGTGTGAGTTTGAGTCAAGGGATTGCGCGCATACGTAGACAAATGATGAGGATGATGTGAGTGTAGTGAGTGCAGTTGCTTGTCTACATGTAAGCCAACAAGTAATTTGTGGTCTTCTCAGATACTCGAGCGAAGGAAAATATTTTGCATGTGTGTGTGAAATGATGAGGATGATGTGAGTGTAGTGAGTGCAGTTGCTTGTCTACATGTAAGCCAACAAGTAATTTGTGGTCTTCTCAGATACTCGAGCGAAGGAAAATATTTTGCATGTGTGTGTGTGTGTGTGTGTAAGAGTTACAAAGGCAAAAGCAAAGCAGACTAACATAGACACACAGGGACGATAAACAACTGCTGATTTGAACGCTTTAATAGAACAACTACAACAACAATTCTAACAAACCGTCTAAGTGCTTGGCAGTGTAGTGGTCAGTTTGCTGGCCGATGAATGAGCGCAAACTGGAGACAAGTTAGCGCATGGATAATTGGACGTTTGGACGACAACGCAAAGCATATCTACGTGTATGTGTGTGTGTTGAGTGACTTTTAAAGTTGCTTGAGTAGCTCTCGCTTTGTATGCGTTTTCTAGAGCGAGAGAAAAGATGTGATTGAGTGCAGCACCCAAAAGCTCAGCTATAAGTGCAAGTGAGTCGGCCAGCTGCACCATGGTCTTATCAGTTGAGTTGATTTTTGAGTGGATGCCAAAGTGATAGCATGGCATGAGAGTGCGATAAGACGACCGCATTCAATCAGGGAACAAATGCATAAACGATTTATTTAGTTAAACACATTTTTGTTGCTTTTTCCAAAGTGGCAAGGGTTACTTTTCACCAACAGCTAACAGCCAACAGCCAACAGCCAGTGATGGCCAAGTGTAGCCAAAAAAGCAGAGCAAAGCAGCTAGAGCTAAGCAGGATAATCAGGCTAGAGACAGGTGTTGTTGGCTTTCTAAGCAAATAAAGCATGCAATATAGATTAAAGCTCGCCTATTGGCCCTACGGGAGTATGGAAAGTGTTAAGTACACCAACACACACATATTGGCTTCGCAATGGATTAATTAAGTGTAAGCTTACAAAAGGTGCCTTTTTTTCCATCTATTCATGCATATTTTTCATATCGCTTAGTTTTCAAAATTTGTCCACTTCAATTTAAGCTCGTCAAATTCCAAAAATAACTCAAATATCTGTCGCCATAAAAATGTGACGGCATGCGCCGCCTGAAAGTGCGCCACATTAAATCATTAAAATACACTTAATTATGACGATAATTGCGCACATTAACTGTGGCGACGAACAAATGCGAAAAAGTGAAAAAGTCAAAAAAAAAAATAAGAAAAAAAATGCACTAAAAATGGTTTACGATACTGGCCGACCGGCTGGGCTGGTGAACTGTCTGCTCGTCTGTCTGATTTTCGTTGCCCCATTAAATAAGATCGCGCGCGAATAGCGCTTAAAGCGCACCTAGAACAAAAGCCAATCTCGCTCGGCCGCTGGTGACGATGACGCAAGTCGGTAATGCTAAGTTCTGACGCAGCTTTTAAGGTGGTTCTAACGTCAAAAGCAGCAGTCACTAAACATTCCGCATGACGAACAAGCGAACGCCAGCGCTCGTACAGTCGCTCCGATCCCAAAGCGACGTGTGGTCGACCGACCTAGTGTACACACATAAAACACTTCAAAATTGGTTATGTGTATGTATATACGTAGCAACACCGCTGCCAGGTAGGCATAAAAGAGGAAGATCGTAAAGCTTGCGAAAAAGCGATAAAAATCTTAGTTTAACTCAGTTGAAGCTCTGCTTAAAAGAAACGCGCTCGATCGACAAAGACAGTGGTGCAGATGGCCACACGTAGGTGGTATAATTCCAGTGTGTGAAAGAAGAATTAAGAAGAATTAACAAGAACAAAAAGTAAATATTTCCCTTTGTATCATGGAAGAAGCGAAAGTGGCTAAGGCCATCGTTGTTCGGAGAGATCTTGCTTTTAAGCCAAGTCGGTTTGATCCAGGCAGACTAAGGTGCGTATTTTTTATTTTGGTGTCTCACTTGCCGACTTGGCCCTAAAAACTGCCATTTTTCGGACTTTGGCAAAAATGAGATGCTGTTGGTGTTGTTGCGGTTCACTAGCCCCGTTTGGGAGCAGCCATGATCAGTCTTAAGTTATCGAGGTCATTTAATGGGAGGAAATGGAAACGAGCTGTTTCGAGTAAAGGTAGGTTAGCTGAGTTTGTTTGAAGAAGCATGGAAACAGGTGGTTAGTATCGTGGGGGCACTCATGACATGCAGGACGTCGGTTGTCTCACGACATTCGGTTCTACACACCAGAGTTTGACCGTATTTTATCCGGGCAATGGCAGTCACCTTTTTCGGCGACTGGTAACAGGTAGCCGAATGAGATCGTCTTCGAGGGTTTAATCGTGAAGACTAAATATTTCATGTTTTAAGTCGAAAACAGCCTTTTCGTCATCATAGAAGGACACCTCACCCATAACTTTCTTTTTATTACTTTAGATTCAGCGATATATACTTATCGTTTTCCCTTTGTAATCCCTGAAGCGCTTTTCGGCCGGCCCCTTATTTGTGGTTTTACGTCTTACTGTTTTCAAGGCAGTTTATTCTAAGCCGCCACAGAACGACCGATGGATTTATATGAGAAGCTTTAATTTTATATCAGAAATAAACTCGGAGAGCTTGACATTCCCATCTGACGGGCTATCGCAACTAGAAAAATAATCTTCTATAAATTTGGAAGTTGGTTGCATCAGTACTCGGACCAATCGGCAATTGCGGCTGCCTAATACCCATTGTAAAAGCTTCCATTGATTCCTTCTTCCTAATAGCACGATATCGAATTTTCGAACATTAAGATACCTTAAATAGGGCAACTGCTAACCTTTCCGCATTCGCATCCAGCTATACAGAGGCTACAATTAAGAGATCAATCTGAATCGATCGATAACAGACGAATTTTGAGAAGTAGCTACTTCAAATCTCTTTACTTACATATTTCAGCGTTTCTTTTTTTTTCCTTTGCAAATGCATAGTGTTTTCCTCTTCAGCTTTCGACAAATGCGACAAAAAATATATACAAGAACTCGGATGATAATAGAATCACGAAGAGTTCACAACTCTACGCACGTCTTCTGTCTAAAAGGAACCTGGTTTCAAAGCTTTGGAAAGGGCGAAAGGGGAATAGATGGGGTTTTGTGCTGGAATCTGATATTACTACTAATCATGCCTCGGGCACCGGCGAAGTCCATCGAGCTAAATCGGCATAAGAGGAAAGTAGGGATTTTATCTGAAGTGTAAAAAAACTTAAATTTCATTTCAGCTTGTGGTGAGACGAACGTCCACCCGGATGAACTATACTACTCGGCGACAGTATCTTTTCTTCATCACAAATCACACAAAATTTGTGCTCCATTATATGGCCTTCTATACTTGTCCCGTGCAACACATTTTTTTAGTAGCGGCGATGTCAGCCGTTTTATTTTCGAGCACAGCAGTTACCCAAAATCATAGTTTCTAGTGCGCTTACCCTGGTAATAAACAAAATTAGACTTTCTCCTCCTTGGATGTTTGAATTTGAGAAGTTTTTTTTTACAAGGCGAAACATGGTTTCTTGTTGGAACACATTTATATAGCGAACCGCATGATTTGAAGTTTCTATTATGCCTACACTGATTCTTCCTCTCTTTTAGCCGGAACCTAAGCTCTTGTTGTAACAGTGAGATTATGACTCAACGGAAGTAAAAACTTCTTCCTACTACTATTTCAGTACTAGAGTCGGCTAAAAACGCAGGCGATGGAACGATAAGCTGTACAAGATATGCGGCGAATTGAAATGGTCCAGCGAACTAAGCTACAGTGGCTACGTTAACCATTACCTTCATATGAATGGAAATACACGAGTCTTTGGTGGCTTCAGATTAGGGCGAATACTTCAATTTCACTGGAAGTTCAGGTGGAGGATGACCTCGTCTCCTCAGTGTATTCAATACGATTCAAATACCAAATATAAGCAACGACTAGCGCGCTATTGTTGACTCGACTTTCAAAGTTTGTGCCTACACAAATTAAGAAGTGAATATGAGCCGCGGGGACTTAGATTTTAGAGAGCTCGGTACTTCACCATATGCGAATTACAATATTAAGAAAATTAGATTTATTATTATTATATTTTTTCAAATAAATTCCAATAAATTTTCTTTCGATATTTTTTCCAATAAATTCCAATAAATTTTCTTTCGATAATTTTCCAAAACAACCCACTGTGCGAACACCTTAACGAACCAACTGAACCTCTATAGTCCTTAAACGAATTTTTTTTCAAATGGGGAAATGCAATTCTCCACAGTTTTTTCTATTTCACACATTTTAGTTTTCGCCTTAGCTTTGTTTTTTGTTGCTGTTTTTTTTTTGCAATTTTTCTGCTCGCCTTTTTTAGAAAAGCGCGCACACGTGTTGCTGCGTACGGAGACTCAGTGGACCAAAAGTTTTATGTATTTGTATGGTTGCGACAATAAAGTGTTGGCTGGAGCAAATTACATAAGACACAAATACACACACATACATATATACATACATACATATAAACAGACACACTACACGATGGTTGTTGGCTTAGTCTCGTCGAGATTTGTGGCATTTAGAGTGTCATAAAATGGCTTAATTGATTTTATTACACAAAAACACACTAAAGGAAGGAAATTTGTGGAAAATTAGAAAATTTACGACAACGCAAACAACTAACGGTGCGGTTGGGTGAGGCGAGTGGTTTGCCAAATGCCATTTTATTTTAATGCACCCCTAAGGCATATATATGTCCATACATATGTATATGTGTATGCATGTATGCAAGTGTTTGAATGAGGTTAACGCGCACAACGCGAA